AAATGCAGTTAAAACACTAATAAGCTAGAACTTCCATCTACCTCAGCCAAAGAGGGCACAGACCATGGGGACCTGTTCTCAGGCTGTGACAGCCTCCCAGCCACAACCCCCTCACCATGCTGGACCGCACATCCAAGGAACAGGCAGCCAAGCTTTTCCTCCCTTGCAGCCCATTTCAAGTCCCCTGCGATTCCTGAGATTGGCCGCACTATCACAAAGCACCCGCCAGTCCAGTATTGAGTTTTCCATCAAGCCTGCCTGTTCTGCGGGGAAGGGCACTGGCCTTAAGTCAGACAACCCTTGGCCAAAATCCCAGCTCAGCCACTTCCCCCTTTGCTGCCTTTGGCAAGCACCTTCACCTCTAGGCCTCAGTTTCCCCATCTATAAATGGCAGATAGCAAAACTCAGGTTTGCTTATGAATGAGTGAAGATACACAAACACGGAACCCGGCATTTAATAAGCATGGCTGTTGGAGCTTTTCCAGCCTCTGAGGACAGAATTACTCTTTGCTCTCAAATGAACGGTGAGGGCTTTGAGGACAGAGACCATGCTGGAGAAATAATGGCCGCTGTGTATTGTGTGCTTATTTGTGTCACCCTCACATTAGCCTGTGGAAGTGAGGACTGTTTTTATCACCATTTTATCGATGAGGAAACTGGGGCTCAGAGAGGGTAAGTCACCTGAAGTCACAAAGCCAGGAAATGGCAGGACTGAGATTCAGTCCCTGGTCCATTTGACCCCTGCAAAGTCTGTGCTTTGAGATACCACATTTCATCTGCCTCCTATCTGGGTGGATTCACTCTTCTCCCGGGCTACCTCACGTTCTAGCCTTTTAAGTGGTTAAGTTGGAAGCTCAGCCTCTGCCCCTCAAGGAATATTCTTTCCCGTTTAGGCCTAGAGAGGGAGGCCAGCTATGTAAAGGTCCTTGGTGGGTTGAGTCTTCCCTGGTTGTTGTACTGGAGGCCCCCTGAGCCCAGTGGACTCAGAGTGCTGGCAAGCTCAAGGCAGACAGGAGGCTTTCCAGGTCCCTGTGGGACGGTGGGGGAGAGAGGGCGGCCACTGTGGGCACCTGCCAGGACTCCTGCTTTCTGAGCTCAGCTTCTTGAAGTGCAGAAAAAGCTCAAGTCCCCTTGACGATCATAGCCATGGTGTTAGTTGTTGTTGTCATTATTAATACTATTTTTGTTATTATCCCAAACCCAAGAGAATGGGACCACTCATTTCCTGGGCTTTTGGAGCCAGGAGGGATGGGCCATGGGAGGTAGGGGGGTGGGTAACCATCTTCAAGTTCCCTCCCTTGCTGGGGTGTAAACCTGGTGGTTTATGATAACTTACCCCCACCTCAAGTTTGTAAGGCCAGCGAAGCCAACCCCAAGATTTCT